TAAAGTGTCGAGCGGCATTGCCCAGAAAGGGCCACGAGAACGAAGCCCTGGGGCAAACCTCCCTGCCCTCCTCATTTCAGACTGCACCACTTTTCCCCCGCCATTTTTTGCCCGCGCGGGCGATCTCCGGCTTTTTTAGAAAAATGGCTTCCTGACCCCAAAGTGGCGATCGGCATTTCCCAGAAAGGGCCACGAGAACGAAGCCCTGGGGCAAACCTCCCTGCCCTCCTCATTTCAGACTGCACCACTTTTCCCCCGCCATTTTTTGCCCGCGCGGGCGATCTCTGGCTTTTTAAAAAAAAAATGTTCGCTTAATAGCGCTATAGCACTATAACACTCCAGGCATTCCAGTGGGGTTGATATACTGCTGTTCCGTTATAGCGCTATAATGCTATAAAGAAAACATATTTTTTTAAAAAAAAAAGCCGGAGATCGCTCGCGCAAGTGAAAAACGGCGGGAAAAGGAGTATCGGAACCGGGAGAGGAAACTGAAGACTACTTGGAAGCGGTTGACAGGTAAAACGCTTCAGCCCCGTTTCCTAAACGGGACAGAAGCGTTTGTGTCTGAAATTACAAATATATTTCGGTAGGGAGCCATTTCTAAAACAGTTCTGTCTGAAATGACAGACCAGAAACCGTTTGGGAACCGTTCCTCTCCCGGATTATATCGTCTGTCTGAAATTCCTCAGTTTTCCGCAAGCAGAATCTTCCTTGGGAGACGGACTCCGCCGAGTCACGCCAAAGGTCTGTCTCTGAACACAGTGCCTCTATTTAATTGACACGGCTGACACCAGTCGACAGAATCCTGCTGCTCAACGGGCCGAGGTTAACGAAACGGCATCACTCAAGAGGAAGGAAGGGCCTCACTCACCACTCCCCAGAGAGGCCAGGTCCTGCGGTTCCAGCAATTGATCCACATAATCTTGGAAGGGCAGGTCGACTGGAACGGAAAAACAGGACGCTGAGAGAACGTGGCAGCCGCTGTGTTTCCCACAAAGGCCGCGAAGCGCCTTCTACGACTCTTCTTGGTTGGTTGGTTTGTATTTTTCATATGTGCATGTGTGAGTGTGTGTGCGCCTGGAAGCTATGGCGACCTCTGGTGACTGACCCCTACTGGGGTCCTGGAGGATATTCCGAGAGGTGGCTGAATAGAGCCTGCCCCCGCCTCCCAATTGCTGGTATTCCTTGGAGGTCTCCCATCCAAGTACTTGCCAGAGTCGACCCTGCTGAGCTTCCGAGATCTGACGGGATCGGGCTCGCCTTGGGGCTATGCAGGTCGGGGCCTTCCTCTCCAATTCCTTATCATTCCATTATGGCTTTAAAAAGCTTCATGTCGTTGAATCCTGGAGCCGGTACAGAAAGCAGACTGCTGAAGCAATGAATTCACCCACCACCACTACAGCGTAAAAAGTTAAGTTTACATATAAAAAAAAAGCCAAGCGAAGAACGTCATGCACATGTATTTTTTTACATCACACAGCAAACATTCCGACGCAAAACGATTAACGCTTGCGCTGGGAAGGGCCACGGGACGTTTCCTTGGAGGTCTCCCATTCAAGTACTTGCAGGAGTCGGCCCTGCTTAGCTTCCGAGATTGGCCTTGCCTGGACTATCCAGGTCCGGGACCTCAACCACTAGAACCATTTCTCTGCCACGGTAAAACACACTGCCTCTGGCTAGTCCCCAGGCCGCAGTGCCAACTGCTTCTCTTCATCCTATGTAATTCCTTGGAGGGTTGAAATTGACCACACCAGATAATAAGCAGCTTCCGGTCAATTTCGCCCTCCTGGGAAAGGAGAAACTGAAAAGCGGCAGATGCGATGTTCCTTATAACAAACCCCAGAAGCACCCATCCTTTCGGTCACTTGGGGGGGCAAAGGTGTACGCAGACCAGTGTTCTCTCTAAGCTGAGTTAGTGTGAACTAGGTCACAGGTTTTTAGCCTCCGGCTCACACATTTTTGTCTTCGCTCAGGAAGGATGGGGCTACAGAGCAAACTGATTTATGCAGTCGCCAAATCACCTGCTCACAACTTTAATGCCGGTAGCTCAGAAAGTAGAATCTTTGCTCACAGGAACTCCACAGTTTAGACGGAACATTGACGCAGACTGCTCGCCCCCAACCCCATCCTCACAACCGCCGGGGAAAGTACCTGGGTGGGTCCTGCCCTCACCTTTGCGGTACGAGTAGGTGTTGGCGGTGCTGAGGCGGACCAGGTGGTCTCCGAACCTGGCCAGTAGCTTCGCCTTCGTGCAGCACTCCTGGAATTCCTGCAGACACAGAGGGAGCAAGACAGACAGATCGGAAGCGAGTTACCTCTAACCGTCACATCCTGGGAGCAATGATAAACACGGTCTAATGTTGCAGACAGAGTCAAAAAAACTCTCAGAAGCGGACCCTTGCCTGGTCATTCGGTCAGTATACACGCACGTCTGAGTCTCTGATGTTCATCGCTTTGCTCTGCTGACTGTTATCGTTATCGCTTTAGACATTTCCTCCCCGCCTGCAGTTTCCCAAGCCTCCTGTAGCACGTGGAGGAGTGGGGAAATCAGACCTGGTTCTCCCAGATTACAGACCGCCGCTCTTAACCGCGACACCAAGAGCACTTCACATCCTTCCAAGCCAGCCAGGCTGAACATCCCCTCCCACCCCACCTCAGGTCCTGAAGCGGCACTGACTCCAGCACCAGGCTGCAGAATAAGAACATAAGAGATGCCAATGTTGGATCAGGCCAAAGGCCCATCCAGTCCAACACTCTGTGTCCCACAGTGGCCAGAAATACCAGTGCCATCAGGAGGTCCAGCAGTGGGGCCAGGACATTAGAAGCCCTCCCACTGTTGACCCCCGCCCAAGCACCAAGAAGACAGAGCATCACTTGCCCCGGAGTCCCTATCTATACCTTGTGGGGCTAATAGCCACTGATGGACCTCTGCTCCATATGCTTATCTAATTCCCTTTTGAAGCCGTCCATGCTTGTAGCCGCCACCACTTCCTGTGGCAGTGAATTCCAAGTGTTGGGTGAAGAAGGACTTCCTTTTATCCGTTCTAACCCGACCGCTCAGCAATTTCATGGAGTGCCCACGGGTTCTTGTATTGTGAGAATCCTGAACCCTCAGTTGACAGTGGGAGAGCTTCTAGTGTCCTGGCCCCACTGGTGGACCTCCTGATGGCCCCTAGTATTTTTGGTCTCTGTGTGACAGAGTGTTGGACTGGATCGGCCACTGGCCTGATCCCACATTGGGTCTCATGCCAATCGAACAGCACCTTTAAATATAGTGTGACCCACAGACAGAAGCTATAGTTCAGTGGGCTTTGCAGGCAAGAAGATCCGGAGTTCAAATCCTGATATCTTCATGTAGCAGATGCCGGAAAAGACCTTTCCCTTGGAGAACCACTGTTGGTTGGAACGTACTGTATTAAGCTAGATAGATCGATGGCGTAACTTAGCATGAGGCAGCTTCACGCGTTCAGACAGCCAGCTTGGTGTAGTGGTTAGGAGTGCGGACTCTAATCTGGGAGAACCGGGTTTGATTCCCCACTCCTCCACGTGCAGCCGCTGGTGTGACCTTGGGTCAGTCACAGTTCCCTCAGAGCTGTTCTCTCAGGAGCAGTCCTCAAAAGAGCTCTCTCAGCCCCACCAACCTCACAGGGTGTCTGTCTGTTGTGGGGAGGGGAAGGGAGAGGAGATTGTGAGTCGCTCTGACTGAGGCTCCTTTGGGTAGTGAAGGGCGGGGAATAAGTCCAATCTCCTCTTCTCTTCATACAGAACCACCACATTGCTCACCCATCTTGGTCCCTCCCAGCCACATTTAACCTAAAACTACAGTCTGGGGGGGCACTCACCGTATTGTTGGTTATTCCCTGGAGAATAACTGGCCTGGCGAAGGCATACCTGAGAAATTAAGAAGACATCTGTCATGCTTATAATACCGGACGACAGATCGCTGAGTTGTGTTCCTCTGCGGTACTCAGGAGCCTGTGAACCCTCCAGAGGGCGTGTGCACACGGCTGCTTTCAGGCACAGGTGCGACTCCTAATTATGTCATGGGCTACACCCGGGGACCAGTGTTCCCTCTAAGGTGTGGAGTCTTGTAAGCAAAAATTCTACCTTGTGAGCCACTGGCATTAAAGTTGTGAGCGATCGATTTGGTTGCTGCATCAATTACGTGTGCTTTGGAGCCATCCCTTCCTGAGCGAAGACAAAAATCTCTGAGCTGGAGGCTAAAAAAACTGTGAGCTGGCTCACACTCACTCAGCTTAGAGGGAACACTGCCGGGGACCTCTAGAATCCAAAACTTCCTCCAAGGAGCCCAGGGTGACAGTCACGGGCATCTCTCAGCCAAACCTAACACACAAGAGTCCTCGCAAGGAGAGCCACACACACTACCCAAAGCAGCTTGGAGGAAGAGAAGGACGACATTATAAAGCTGGATAGAACCACAAGCATCAGCCCTTGTGTGCTGCGGGACAGCTCGCTCTGCAAACACGGGGGGGGCAGCACAAAGGGAAAGTGCATTTCTACATGGACTGGGGGGGGGGGCATTTGGAGCCCATAACGGACAAATGCTTTACCCCCGTAGGAGTTCTGTCCCCACTGCTACCCAAAGCAGCTTGGAGGAAGAGAAGGACGACATTATAAAGCTGGATAGAACCACAAGCATCAGCCCTTGTGTGCCGCGGGACAGTGCATTTCTACATGGACTGGGGGGAGGGACGGGCATTTGGAGCCCATAACGGACAAATGCTTTACCCCCGTGGGAGTTCTGTCCCCACTGCTGGACCTCCTGATGGCCCCTGGGTTTTGACCACTGTGTGATACAGAGTGTTGGACCGGATGGGCCACTAGCCTGATCCAGCATGGCTTCTCTTCTGTTCTTATGTCTGGGGCAAGGGATGCTCTGTATTCTTGGTGCTTGGGGGGGGGGGCAACAGTGGGAGGGCTTTTAATGTCCTGGCCCCACTGCTGGACCTCCTGATGGCACCTGGTATTTCTGGCCACTGTGTGACACGGAGTGTTGGACTGGATGGGCCTTTGGCCTGATCCAACAGTGGCTTCTCCTATGTTCTTAATATGGAGCAGAGGTCCATCAGTGGCTATTAGCCACAAGGTATAGATAGGGGCTCTGGGGCAAGTGATGCTCTGTCTTCTTGGTGCTTGGGGGGGGGGTCAACAGTGGGAGGGCTTCTAGTGTCCTGGCCCCACTGGTGGACCTCTTGATGGCCCCTGGTATTTTTGGCCACTGTGTGATACTGAGTGTTGGACTGGATGGGCCACAGGCCTGATCCAACACTGGCTTCTCTTATGTTCTTATGTTAGGTATAGATAGGAGCTCTCGGTCTGGGGCAAGAGATGCTCTGTATTCTTGGTGCTTAGGGGGGCAGCAACAGTGGGAGGGCTTCTGGAGTTCTGGCCCCACTGGTGGACCTCCTGATGGCCCCTGGTATTTTTGGCCGATGTGTGACCCAGAGTGTTGGACTGGATGGGCCACAGGCCTGATCCAACATGGCTTCTCTTACGTTCTTATGTCTGGGGCAAGTGGTGCTCTCTATTCTTCGTGCTTGAGGGGCAACAGCTTGTGGGCGACAAAGGCCCAAAGCACCACGGATTGTTTGCTAGCCAAACAGCACACGGCACTCAGCCTAAGTCAGGTCTTCCACCTTCACCGCAGTCAATCAGGTGGAGGAACGGACAGGAGCCGTCTGATCAGCAACGCCGTTTCCTCCTAATGAATCAGCATGCAGATGATTCAGAAAGTGTTAATAGGTGAGCTTCTTAAGGATTGGGAAGATGATGCTGGCTGTGAACCCTGGAAAAGACAATCTGCTTGTTTCTTTACGCCTGTCACAAGACAAGGCTGACATCGCCAGAATCAATAATTTACACTGGGGGGGGGGGTTTGAACGGAACCCAAAAGGGCATAAAAATCAAAACACTGAGCATGACTCGAACGGCTAAGATTTTTTTTAAACTCAATTATTTAGGTGACAAAGAAGAAGAGGAGATTGGATTGATAACCCGCCCTTTATAACCCGCTGAGAGAGCTCTCTTGAGGACTGCTCATGAGAGGACAGCTCTGAGAGAACTTGTGACTGGCCCAAGGTCACACCAGCAGCCGCGTGTGGAGGAGTGGGGAATCAAACCCGGTTCTCCCAGATTAGAATCCACGCTCCTAACCACTACACCACAGCTGGCTCCCTGTAGCAAGGGGCCAACTGTCTCAATTGAGACCCAGTCGCCATATTTTGTAGATACTGCCCCCTTCTGCTAAAAGTGGGTAGGACAAGAGGGGAGGATAAGACGGTGGGCTCACTTAACTGCTCAATGAACTGGGCGTAAGTGAGGGTGGCGTCTCTTCTCTCCACTGTGCAGCTGTCCTCCTCCAGTAGAGCGGCGTGCTGGCTGGTCAACCTGTGAGAGCGAATGAGAACACCTCTGAAATACAGCCAGGTGAAGCACTGCTTCATTTTGGGTAGGGATGAAGCTTGGGTACCTCAATGCCACACAAGGAGGAGGAAGAAGAAGAAGAAGAGGGTTGGATTTATACCCCACCGTTCACTCGGAGTCTCAGAGCGGGTTCTAATCGCCTTCCCTTCCTCTCCTCATTCTCTGAGAGAACTTGTGAATGACCCAAGGTCACACCAGCAGCTGCATGTGGAGGAGTGGGGGGTCAAACCCGGTTCTCCCAGATTAAGAGTCCGCGCTCTTAACCGCTACACCAAAGTGTAGTAAAAACATCCCAATATTCCTTGCATTACATTCAGTATTTAGGGGCTGTAACTCTAGCAGGGGATGAGATTTCTGGGACACAGGTTAGAAACGTAGCAGGAAGTCCTAAGTGGGAAGGGCCTGTGGCTCAGTGGCAGAGCACCTGCTTGGCACGCAGAAGATCCCAGGTTCAATTCCCGGCATCTCCAGTTTAAAAAAGGGACCAGGCAGTGAGTGATGTGAAAGAAGCCACTGTTGTTGTGAGGGTAAAAGGCATGGAGAAGCGTGGTTTCTTGGGAGGAAGGATGGGACGGAATCGGTTTTCGACTGACTTACCAGCCTCCATCGGATTCCAGGGATGCCAGAACTTCAGGAAACGCCAGGAAACACTTCAGTATAAGCGACAGCAGGAAAAATGGCTCTCTCGGGCCCATCTGTCCCAAGATCCTGTGCAATGCGGAAACACAAGCTTTGTGAGCTCCTGGCATTAAAGTTGTGAGTGAGTGATTTGGCAGCTGCATTTGCCCTTCCTGAGCGAAGACCAAGATGTGTGGGCCGGAGGCTAAAAAACGGTGAGCTAGCCCACACTAACTCAGCTTAGAGGGAACACTGGTAGAGCCCAAGGATCGCGTCGCTATGTATCGATGACACCTGAACGTGGATGACGCCGCCTCACACCAAGTCAGACCGCCGTTCCATCTAACTGAAGCAATCTTTGCTCGGACCGGCAGCCGCTCTGCAGGGTCCCAAGGAGAGAAACTGCCCAGGTTGCTTTACCCGCAACTGCAAGGAACAGAATTTTCTGGGACACAGGCTAGGAACGTAGCAGGAAGTCCCCCAGTGGGAAGGGGCCGTGGCTCAGTGGCGGAGCACCTGCTTGGCACGCAGAAGATCCCAGGTTCAATTCCCGGCATCTCCAGTTTAAAAAAGGGACCAGGCAGTGGGTGATGTGAAAGAAGCCCCGGAGAGCTCCTGCCAGTCTGAGCGGACAATACTGCCCAAGGGTCCGATTCAGTATAAGGCAGCTTTGTGTGTCCAAGATGGAGACTTCAGCTTGGAGGGAGACAGCGATTAGAGTACTAAACTGGAACTGGAGGGACCAGACTTCAAATCCTCTCATTGCCGTGAAGCTGGCTGCTTGAAGTTGGGCCTGCTGCTCTCCCTCGGCCCCACCTACCTCACAGGGCTGTTGTGAGCAAAGTTCCCTCTAAGCTGTGGAGTCTTGTGAGCAAAAATTCCACTTTGTGAGCTACTGGCGTTAAAGGTGAGAGCAAGCCATTTGGCTACTGCATAAATCAGTTTGCTCCGGAGCCATCCTTCCTGAGCTGAGACAAAAACGTGTGAGCCGGAGGCTAAAAAACGGTGAGCTAGCTCACACTCACTCAGCTTAGTGGGAACACAGGTTGTGAGGGTAAAAGGCGTGGAGAAGCGTGGCTTCTTGGGAGGAAGGATGGGATGGAATCGGTTTTCGACTGACTTACCAGCCTCCATCGGATTCCAGGGATGCCAGAACTTCAGGAAACGCCAGGAAACACTTCAGTATAAGCGATAGCAGGAAAAATGGGTCTCTCGGGCCCATCTGTCCCAAGATCCTGTGCAATGGGGAAACACAAGCTTTGTGAGCTCCTGGCATTAAAGTTGTGAGTGAGTGATTTGGCAGCTGCATTTGCCCTTCCTGAGCGAAGACCAAAATGTGTGAGCCGGAGGCTAAAAAACGGTGAGCCAGCCCACACTAACTCAGCTTAGAGGGAACACTGGTAGAGACCGAGGATCGCATCGCTATGTATCGATGACACCTGAACGTGGATGACGCCGCCTCACACCAAGTCAGACCGCCGTTCCATCTAACTGAAGCAATCTTTGCTCGGACCGGCAGCCGCTCTGCAGGGTCCCAAGGAGAGAAACTGCCCAGGTTGCTTTACCCGCAACTGCAAGGAACAGAAGCTGGGATCTCCCTTGGAAGAAGATCCATTTAAAGGATACCTCTGGCAGCTGGTGTCGCAAAAGATCTCTCTTTCAAAAGAGCCAGTTTGGTGTAGCTGGTTAGGAGCACGGACTCTAATCTGGGAGAACCGGGTCGGATTCCCCACTTCTCCACATGCAGCCAGCTGACGTGACCTTGGGTCAGTCACAAGTTCTCTCAAGGGCAGGCCTCTGAGAGCCCTCTCGGCCCCACCTACCCCCCAGGGTATCTGTTGTGGGGAGGGGAAGGGATTGTAAGCTGCTCTGAGACTCCTTCGGGTAGTGAAGGGCAGGGTATAAATTCAATACCATCGTCATCTTCTCCACCTCCCCTCCCCACAACAGACACCCTGGGAGGTAGGTGGGGCTGAGAGAGCTCTGATGGAAACTGCTCTTTTTCAAGGACAGCTGTGCCAGACCTATGGCTTGCCCAAGGTCATCCAGCCAGGTGCAAGTGGAGGAGGAGTGGGGAATCAAACCTGGTTCTCCATATTAGAGTCCACCACTCTTAACCACTACACCAAACTCAGTGTGTTTGGTGGGGGGTTTCCTCTCTCCCAGTTTAGCTGGCAGGTACCACTAAAGGAGCTGCGGTGGCTCAAGTGGTGAAGACGCTGAACTGCAGGCTGTGGAAGGTCAGTAGTTCAGCAGTTCGAGACCTGAGTGTGCCGCAGGACGGAGTGAGCTCCCATCTCTAGTTCCAGCTCCTGCCAACCTAGCAGTTTGAAAGCAAGACATTGCAAGGAGATAAATAGGTACCACTTCAGTGGGAAGGGAACAGCGTTCCGTGCGCCTCGGTGTTTAGTCATGCCAGCCACATGACCACGGGAACGTCTTCGGACAGCGCTGGCTCTTCGGCTTGGAAACGGAGATGAGCGCCGCAACCCTAGAGTCGGACTCGACTGGCTTTCGAGCAAGGGAACCTTGACCTTTACCTTAAACTCTGCAAAGAGGACTCCAAAACGGATCATGCAGTCCTCTCCAGCTCTTTGTTCATCCTGGTAGCGAATGGGAGGCAGACGGTGAGGCGCAGGGAGGAAGCCCACGTGTCACAGCTGCAAAATTAGGACCGAGATCAGGGGATCCGGCTGCTGCTGGCACAGAAAAGCAAGAGAGATCATCTTCCACACAGCACTGCGCTGCGCCTTCCCTCGAACTGCCTGGCTGCGACTCCCCCCACACCCACCATCCCTCCCCAGCTTTACATTGTACCTTGTTTTGCTCACCAGAGCCTAGCAGCTGGCTGGGGAGATCTTCAAGCTTTCTGCAGCGCCTCTCTGCTCAGCATTCTGGGACTTGCAGTCCAAAAGCATCTTACCCTAGGAAACAGGCTCACAAGAAAGGCTTCTGAAAGCCTCCACCCTGGCAGCGGCGTGCTTGGAAATGCCTCCAGGCGACCGTCTCCTTCCCAAGCCAGGAAGTCTCAAGTTTCCACGCACGCTTCCCAGAGCCGGAATGGCTCCAGGACTACACTACCCAGCAGGCCTAGCGGTCGCACCGACCTATGCCTGGTACCCAGAGGACAAAGAGGCAGGGATGGCGAAAGCCAGCGGTTGCTATTGGTTACAACGACGTCACCCAGGAAGCACTGCTGCTGCAATAGGCCTGTTTCAGTTCTCTGGACTGCTAAGGGTGGAACTGGAGGCAAGGGCTGCAGTTTGCAATCCAATGTTCCAGGCAAGGGAGGGTTTGCAGGCTGCAGTTTGCAATCCAATGTTCTGGCAAAGGGAGGTTTTGCAGGCTGCAGTTTGCAATCCAATGTTCTGGCAAAGGGAGGGTTTGCAGACTGCAGTTTGCAATCCAATGTTCCAGGCAAGGGAGGGTTCGCAGGCTGCAGGTTGCAATCCAATGTTCCAGGCAAGGGAGGGTTTGCAGGCGGCAGTTTGCAATCTAATGTTCCAGGCAAGGGAGGTTTTGCAGGCTGCAGTTTGCAATCCAATGTTCCAGGAAAGGGAGGGTTTGCAGGCTGCAGTTTGCAATCCAATGTTCCAGGAAAGGGAGGGTTTGCAGGCTGCAGTTTGCAATCCAATGTTCCA